TTTTAAAGACAAACTGACCTACTTTTATCATACCCAATAATGAGTAACAGCGGCACATATTGCTAACAAAAAATAATTAATTAGGAATTTTGAGTTTTTCAGTAATATGAGGGATCTGCGAACACAAATACCAATTTAGAGATATACAGGGTGAGATAAAAAACAGCAACAAAGTCAAACGATATAATTTTTACATTTTTTTTTTAATTTAATTGAATTAAAGCAAAAAATGTCGGAAATAGCATCAAATTTTAGAATAACTTTAGATTTGTTCGAATTGGTCACCTTTGGCACGAATTATGACCTTCAAACGGCCAATGAAACCGTCACACGCTGCCCGAATGTTGCTCTGTGGTATTTTGGCCTATTCCCGGCGAAGCACTTGCTTGAGGTGATCGACACTTTGTTATTTTTTAGTGCCAACATTGCTTTCCAAAATACTCCAGACACAATAGTCCAACGGATTGGTATCCGGAGTTTTTGATGGCCATTGTGCGCTGGAAATGAACCTCAGGGTGGCGCGTGCTGAGTGCGATGGTGCTGAGTCCTGTTGGAAAGTTTGCGGCCTCCAGAATATTTTCGCGATAATATTCAGCATTTATTCTGATGCCACGGATGTGTAATACGAGCGGAGAGCGACCATCGGTTGTTATGGTGGCCCACACCATCACCATGGCCGGTGCTTGAGTGCTGGTGGCCAATCGAAGGGGCACATTTTCAGCTGACCTCTTTGGCAAGTAAACACGATCATTTGGTTTGTTTACAAACTGCTGGACAACGAATATTTTCTCATCGGAGAAAACCAAGTTCGCCAGTTCACCATTTTCGGCTAAGCGAAGCAAATCTTTGGCTCTTTTGAGTCCATTTTTTCTGTTGCGGTGTAAGTTCTTGTACTTTGTGGAATTTCAATGGATTTACCCCAAGCTCATTTTTCAATATTTTCCGATGGAATATTGCGATATGTTCAGCTCACGAGCCATTTTTCGGCCACTGCGACGCGGGTTTTGATCAAGTAGCTCCTTTACTTTTCGAACCATTGCTGCTGATATTGCTGTTCTCTTCCGTCCACTTCTTTGACGTCGGGCTACACTACTAAATTCCATCACGAATAAAGTTTTTTCTGGAAAATTCTCACCAAAAAGCTTTTGTACTCTTGCAAACAATATAATGAGCTGTCACTGGAATAGTTTTAACAGCTGTCGGACGAGTGGCTTAGAAATGACAGCAATCTGAAGTTGGTTGCACTTTTTTCATCTCATCCTGCATATGGACCTGTATATGTAATTTTCTGTCATAAAAAGTGTAAACCAATTCAAACTTCAAATAGCAAACATGAAACAATTCCGTTGGAATTTTGACATAAATTGTTAAAATACGGAATATCGTTTGTTACTTGTATAGGGAGGTTATACGAAAATGTGGGCTTATGTAGATTCGTTACAATCAGAGAGTTAAATACCTATTATCAACACCTAATACCAACTTTGAAATTATTCCGTAGTAGAATGTCTCTAAAAGAAACCAGTAAGGAAAGGTCAAAATTGGGTGGGACCGACTATATGACACCCTAAACCACTATGCGTATTAAGTAGAGCTCCAGAAACAAAAAAGTTTATAATGGGGATTTATGTGTAGCAGATCCTACCAACTATGATCCAAATAACATTGTTGTGTAGTGTATGATATTTCTTCGATAGGGATTATATTGAAATATATTTCTGGATCAAAATATATACCGGGCCAAGTTTCACCAAATTGCAAAATTCGGTTAAATTTCTGATGCCCGGTATCAAATATCATTGTTGTGAAGTACATATAACGTATGTGAGGATTTTTTGAAACATATATATGGTAGGTAAAGCTAAATCTGAACCGATTTTTACCAAAACTTGAAGCCCTTGCTCTTAGGTTGAATTCCTCGGGAGTACCAAAATTTAGAATATTGGAGCTATATACAAATCTGAACCGACATTGGCAACATTTTAAACACTTATTTCTGAGCTGTATCTGATATCCGGTTCCAAATATTATTGTTGTAGAGTGCATATTGCGCATGTAAGGGACTTAAACCCCATATCGGGTGAATGATATATATGGGAGCTATAGCTATATCTGAACCGATTTTTACCAACTTTGAAGTACTTGTTTCTGGACCGAATTGCTGAAACACTTCCGATTTGGATGAATATTTGGCGCACAATAAAATTAAATCGGACGAAGATATATATGGAAGCTATATCTAAATTTTGACTGATTGTTACCAATTTCAATAGGGTTCGTCCTTGGACGAAACAACTGATTTGTGGAAAGTTTAATTGCGATCAGAAAATAAATGTGACCTGCGCATTGTTTACAAAAATACATGGACTGACGGGCGGACATGCATAAATCGACTTAGAACGAAAAGGGTCAATCTGGCTTCCATCTCCATGTTACAAACAAATGCACAAAGACATAATACTCTGACCACAGTGTGGCGCAGGGTATAATTAAAATACCGAATATAGGGAGGTACCGTTATATGGGGTTGATATGAAGGCCTAGGTAATGAAAACGCCAGACTACTAAAGGTAGTTTGTTATATGGGGACTATACTAAAACTTGAACCTATATGTACAGTTTTCTGCAAGAACGGTCTTAGATTCTTGGAAGACAGACTGCTAATTTACAGGAAATTCGGTTCAAACCCGTGACTCAAACACACAAAATACCTTAAATACAATACCAGTACAATTATATGGAGACTATAGCAAAACGTGTAGGACTTTTGGTATTGAAAAGGGGCCATGTAGGTCCACGTTTTGGTTTAGCCCCCATATACCGGTGCCTCCCGATATTCGGTATTTTTGCGATATTCATCGGAATTGTTTCAAATTTGGTATCTGAAGTTCGAAATGGATGCTACAGTCTAAGACAGAAAATTGTCTATGCAAGTCCACGTCTTCGTATAGCCCCCATGTAACGGTACCACCGGACATTCGGTTCTTTGTTGATTTTAGCGACATTATTCACCGGAATTCTTTCAAATATGGCACTTAAAGTTTGAAATGAATATTACAACCTATGACAGAAAATTGTCGGTGCAGGTCCACGTCTTCACATAGCCCCCATATAACGGTACCCCCCGATATTCGGTATTTTGATGACTTTAGCGATATTATTCACCGGAATTTGCTTCAAATTTGGTATTTGAAGTTCGTAATGAATACTACAGCCTATGACTGAAAATTGTCCGTGCAGGTCCACTTCTTCGCATAGGCCCCATATAACTGTATATCTCGATATTTGGTATTTTGATGATTTTAACAACATTATTCACCGGACTTGTTTCAAATTTGGTATTTGAAGTTCGTAATGGATACTCAGTCTAAGACGGAAAATTGTCTGTGCTGGTTTACATCTTCGTATTGCCCCCACATAACGGTACCTCCCCATATTCGGTATTTTGTTGAATTTACCGACAATATTCACCGGAATGCTTTCAAATTTGGTATTTGAAGTAAGTAGTGGATACTACAGCCTAAGACGGAAAATTGTCTGTGCAAGTCCACGTATTCGTATAGCCCCCACATAACGGTGCCTCCCTATATTCGGCATTTTATTGATTTTAGCTACATTATTCACCGATTTTTTTAGATTTGCATTTGAATATTTTATGACAAAAGTTGCCTATGCAGGTCCATGTAGTCGTATAGAACTTAATGTAACAGCTACATTCGGTATTTTTAAGATTTCAACAGAATTTTTAACGGATTTTATTATTTTTGAGAATTACCAAATTCGCTCCAAATGGTGGAGGGAATTCAAAGTTCGGTCCGGCCGAACTTACACCTTTTTTAATTGTTTTGTAATATTTTGCTATTTGTTTTCGTAGCTCATTGATGGGCAACATATTTTAAAGAATGGCTGATTCGGCTTTAGAATCAGGAAACTTGATCGATGAAGGTATCTGTTGGTATGTGGAATTAAGGTGTGAAGGTTGTTGTGTGAATGTGTACTATAGCTGTAATAAATAGTAAAAAAGGAAAAAACAGAGCTGAAATCCTGAAATTTGGTATAGATGTCCTTGTTGTTGTTTTTTTACAGAACGAAAAATACTACATATAATTTGGGTAAAGAAATGGAGCTGAAATCCTGAAATTTGGCTAGGATTCACTGGCGGTATCTGTGGTTAAGTTGATTTTCGAATTGCGTTCTATATTTGTACGAATAGTACTAAATGATACTTAATTTGACATTGGGTGAAGGGATAGGGCTGGATTCTTCAAAGTTTACATTGAGGTCTTTGATGGTATCTGTGGTTGAAAGAAGGGTCTGGTTGGGAAATGTGTACTATAATTTTACAAAATTTGGTATTGGGTGAAGGGATAGCTCTGGAATACTCAAATTTGATATTGAGGTCATTGGCGGTATCAGTGGTTGAAAGAAGGAGCTGGTTGTGGAATTTCGTACTACAATTTTACGAAAAGTACAAAATTTGGTATTTGGTGAAGGGAGATGGTAACTTGTTTTGAACAAATGCGTACTATATTTGTCCATAAAGTACTAAGTGGTACTAAATTGGGTATCATGTGAAAGGATAGAGCTGGAATCTTCAAATTTAATATTGAGGTCTCTGTTTGGAAATGTGAATGTTTTATTTAAGATGTAACTTTCGAAATTTCACGAATGACATAATAAATTTAACCTCCATTTTATTGTGGAGGTTATAGAACTTTTTGCTATAATATTGTTGGGTTTTTTGAGCGTTTATAATGATACTATAAAATTTCCAAGGGTTTTGGCAGAAAAAAATTCTCAACATTTGTTGGCTCACAAGTTATGAGTCCCTAATAAGAGGAATTTGTCTTACCAACATTTTATATTGCTTGTATGGTGGCTTGTCAATTCAACGGTTTGTCTTAGGTTCAAAAAAGAAGTAACTATGGTTCATATCTTCCGCAAAAAAAATTTCAGCACATGAAACACAATTTTTTGTATTATTTCGGCATTTGTTTTTTTATTTTTTTTTTATGGATTAATATAACAATGTGATATGTATATCATGGATGGATTAACAAAAAATATGTGATATGATAGTGTTAAAAACAAAAAATGAGTTCGATCGTAGAAATAAATTATTTTTAAAAATTTCGAATAGAAAATCGTGTGTCATCGATTTTCCATTTGTGGCATTGGGTTGAGTTTTCATGTTTTTTGGATGGGAGATGAAATCGTTTAGTAATGTTTTTCGGTAATTTTTACTTTGCTATGCCAGTGAGCGGGTTGGACTTTGTGGACGATAGCAGCGCTATGGTGGTGCACTGGGACGGCACGATGAACCAAAGCAGCATGATGATGGGCATCAGCGTGATGGACATCAGCATGATGGACAACAGCAGCAGCATGGTGATAGGCATCAGCGTGGTGGACAACACCGGCATGACGCAACACACCATCATGGTGGACCAAATCAGCGTGATGAGCCAAGGCACCAGTATGAGCAACATCTCCAGCATGCAATTCAGTGTGATGCAAATCGGCAGCATGATGATGCTCATCGACATGATGATTTTGATGGACCACATGATGATCGACAGCTGGTTTGGTGTAGTGCAAGAAATGATGAGGTTCATGATGTACCACCTTGGTGACATGATGAACTGGTTCCACTTTGTGAATGGGTTCATGTTGAATGATCTTGGCAGCCGGGGCATTGTGGACATCAACAGCAGCTACACCATGATGGCCAGCATCGTGGTGAGCAACTTCCAAGGCGGCATGATGATCAGCATGATGATAGACTGGATGGTGTTCAACACCGTGATGTTCGAGACCATTGTGACCATCGACAACGAGACGAGCCGAATGGCCAATGTGAACACCATTGCTGTGATGAATATCAGCATGATGAAAGTCGGCTGCGTGATGAACCAAACCATGATGGGCATCACCGTGATGAGGCAGAAGACCAGCTTGGGCTGAGGTAGCCAAAGCAAGAGCCATAACGCATGAGAATACCTGTAATCACACGAAAGGAACGAAATGGAATGAAATAAATGAATGTTTTTGTCACAACCATACGGCAAAAATGTAAGGAAGTATCAATTTCAGGGATTGAAATTCTTTTTCAAAAACTTAACCAAGAAAATTTGAAAATTGGAGGACTATTATTTTTTTTAGGTTTTAGAGCTCTCTTCTAGTTCTCTTCTAGTTATTTTATGCAAACAGATATGAGAATGCTACTATAAATACTGGATTATAGAAAAAGTAAGGAAATCTATAGAGACTAAGAATTTTTAGGGTCCTTCAAGTCCTTCCAAAATTTAAAATTCGGAAAATGTATTTAGCCGTTCGGAAAATGTATTTAAAAAGAAGAATATAAAAAATCGAAAGATATATTTTGCATTAATTAATAATTTTTTCTTAGGATTTTTTAGACCTTTTTCTGAAGAATTGCCGATTTAAAGACGCTTTATACCCAATTGCTGAAATACCCAATAATATAATACAATTTATTGGTCGAATTCCAATCTCCATGTCTTGAAAAACTTTAAGAGTATAAAAATTGAAGATAGAGATATTAGAGGAGAGATATTAAAGATAAATACAACAGCTTAGATTACTTTAGTTTATAAAAACTTTACCAGGGTGTTTTTTTGGTTTATGAACCAGGATCCATTTATACCCTATATAAGATCTTAATATATACGATCCGAGCAAAACCTGTGGCGATATTTAAAATTTTGAAAAAAAGCTTTCCATGGGCAAGTTGCATAATTGGAATACAGACTGCCAAAAAGAAACAAGTTTCGAAGCCGGTTGGTTTGAAATATTTCTAGAGTTTTAGGTTGATCATGTTCTCTTGAGATATATCGGCATATTCTCCTCCTGATGATTGATAAACCTTTTGGAATTGCCCACACTATGCTCAAAACTAGTCTTTTAGAATTATATTAAAGTTTTGAATTCTACTGATTCATGTTTAAGCGGTTTGAGCTTTTTTACGACCACATTTGAAGGGATGTTTCGGTTTTGCAGGACAATTATTTTTTTGCTGATAGATTTTCTAATTTTTTTCCATAGTTGGATTTAAATGAATTTTTTTTAATTCTCATATTAAACTATTCACTTATTCACAAAACGCGTATCATTATTTTCATACCTTCATTTTAACGATTTCACACTTAAATTTGTTTAATCCCAAAATTTGAAAAAATTAACTTTTTTACGAACTCTTTGTTTGTTCGACGCTGTGTACTGAACTGATGTCTAATCAAAAACACCTCCGCATTTAAATACCTAATCCACGTGAAATGAAAAAAAAAAATTGTGGCGTTTTGTTTTGGCCAAATTCCGTTGCCTAACATCTGATTTCGTTCGATTGGTAACAGCCGCCATGGTATCAATTGTCGTCACATCCGTAATTACAAATTTTAAAGAAGCTCAGCTAAATAATCAAATATGCGTTGCAACGAAATTGTAATAACAATTTGTACGTTTGTCTGTACATACATACATAAATACATACAAATGTGTGAGTCTTAATCCAATTCATTTTAACGGAAGGGATTACCGTTTAAGCACTCTAAGTTGATGTACTAAAAAAGAAGCGCTTTAAATGGTAAGCTTTTTGTCTGGTTTGCCAGCGTACACCACCACATATGGTTTCTTTTTGTGTGGAACGTTTTACACTCAAGGTCATTCTTGGTGCACATGACCCATACTTGATAATAAAGGTATTAATAAAATAAACGGTGACGCACGTAGACACCGTTATTGGTTACGAACACAGCTAGTTTAGTTTTTTTTTCAATTTTTTATTATAATTTGTAATTTCAAGAATTAATTAAATTTAGTATTAGTTACACTTCTTGGATGTTTTCCAAGATCAAAGTTTCTTGATTAAATAATAGTATTCCTAGCAAGTTAAACAAATAACAAGTTAAAAAACAGTACGTTCGGCCGGGTCAAACTTTGAATGCCCTCCACCAATTGGAACGAACTTGGAAATTGTCAAAAAATGAATTCCGTTAAAAATTATGTTAAAATCTTAAAAATGCCGAATATAGCCGTTATATTGGGGTCTGTATGACGTGCACCTACATAGGCTTTGTTTGTCATGAGCCATTACCATATTCAAATTCAAAACTTGAAATAAACGGAGAATAATGTAGCTAAAATCATCAAAATACCGTATATAGGGATGTACAGTTGTATCGGAGCTATACGAAGACCTGGACCGGCATAGACAATTTTCTGTCACAGGCTGTAGTTCCCATCACGAACTCTAAATACGTAATTTGAAACAATTCCGGTGAATAATGTCAATAAAATCATCAAAATACCGAATGTAGGGAGGTACCATTATATGGGGGCTATACGAAGAAGTGGACCTACATGGCCTATTTTCTGTCACAGGCTGTAGTATCCATTACGAACTTCAAATATCAAATTTGAAACAATTCCACTGAACAATGTCGCTAAAATCATCAGAATACCGAATATCAGGAGATACCGTTACATGAGGGTTATATGAAAACGTGGACCTACATGACCCGTTTACGAACTTAACCTGCCTATAGGCATAGTATGTTGGAGGTTATAAAAAGAGCGTATCGTATTATGAGGAACATATCAGAAAAACAGGTCAATGAGGTGAGAAAGGAAGAGGTAATAAATTGCAGTCGACCCAATTAGAATACTATTGAAGAGTTTACCGAGTTAATATCTAGTGTTTACCTGAATTGACTGTTTATAGAATTGTCCAATTATTAATCAACAGATCAGGAAATGTCTGTATCCATACCCTAGAAGAGGATACGATACCTATGTTTATACCCTCAGCTTTAAGGGTCCAGAGAGTATATATCATTTGATCGCATCGAAATAACGCTTTTACAACATACTTCTCTTTGGGATGAGAATCGTTTTACGACATTTAAAGTCAATCTAGCGGTTTTTGGCGGGCTGGCCGGTGCGCAGTATAACTCTCGAAGGGAGAATCCACTTGGGTCCAAACTTGGAACATTGTAATAGATTACTAAACATGGACTAAATTCGGAGATGAGCAATCTCGGTCCATTCCTTCTAGTCCCTCCCAAAAAGGTCAACATTTTCCAAGAAAATGGAACAAGGAAAGAACATCAGATTTTGTTCAAATTTTACAAAGCCTAATATTTACATCAGCGTTAAAATTCAGATGCGAAAGGAATTCTCTGATCTCAAATAAAATTTTTCAAATTATATCTGCAAAAGTTGTAGCACCTAGTTAAAATTTTGAATAGTCATAATTCAATTAAAATATTAAATATGAGGCAGATTGTGTTAAAATTTCACACATATCCTTAATTGTACCAATACAAGATCTGGTGATAATATGGCATACGCCTGACCACTTCCACCTCCACAGAGTGTGAAAATTTTGAATTTTTAAAACTCTCATAACATGCAAAAATATTCAGCTATTCTTCTTCAGACTTCGCATATCTTAATATTTCTATAAAGCATACTAGCTTAACCCGGTGCTCTTCGCTACCCCTTTTGATTTGATTCAAGAATTTGAAATTGAGTGACATTTCTGTTGCTATTAGAAAATTCGAGGTAGGAACATACTTCCCCGTAATAATCGTATCCTCAATTAAATTGTTGTTTGGTTTTTTACTGTTAGCCTAAACCCCATTGCAAAGACGTTGTGGGTCAATGTTTCTTAATAAAATCATATCCCAATCTCAACGGATTTTAATGTAATTTTACAAAATATATTTTTAGACCACATTCAATCACACTTTTCATATTTCATTGCAATTGAAGATGCATAGCGTATTTGATGCATCAAATAAACGAAATCGGCCGAATATATGGAGGGCTCACTGCTATACCGAACCAAGTCATGAAAAATGCCGAAACTAGTGCCAATGTCCCCGCATATGGCAAATCTATTTACTCTGCAAAGCACAATGTTAAAAGTGTTAACGATAAAAAACCTAAGGCAACGACTGTCCTTTTCGTTTTTATTCAAAGCGAAAATGAACCAAGTCAGTGTGTTTCACTTTGAATCAGTATTATTAGTGAGCAAGTGCATATTGCCGTTCAGTTTTCAGCAATATTAAAAAAAAAAAACAAGTTAAAAAGTATCAGTCGGTTTTGCCGACAGATGTATACCCTCAGCCATAGTACGTGGAGGGTATAGTATGGAGGGCATATTAAGTTGGTCATTCCGTTTGTGTGCATCACGAAATATATATTTTAGACTCTACAAAGTATATATATTCTTGATCAGCATAAAATTCAATGTCGGTTTTGCGATGTCCGTCAATGTGTGGAAATCACTCTAGCTTCCGAGTCAATTGATGTAGGTTGATAAAATTTTACTCAGATGTGTGTTTGGTCTACAGGGCGTTTGGTATTGAAAATGATCGGTATTTTGATGACTTTCGTATTATCGATATTATTTACCGGATGTTTTCCAGTTTCCCATTTAAATATTGTAATAGACTATGACAAAACTTGCCTGTGCAGGTCCACGTTTTCGTATAGACCCCCATATTACGGTAACTCCCTATATTCGGTATTTTTAAAATTTTTAAAAGTATTTTCCAACGTTTTGAAAAGATGAATAATCCCGGCAAAGTGGAAGCACAATGTGCGTAAGCTTCGCTGCAACAGTGGAAAAGCATACACAAATCAGAAGGGATTGTGGATGTAGGTGAATGAATCTGACAGAGAATTATTTTTCACGTCATTTTGGAAACTTGCAGATTATGCAAAACAAAATGTATTTTTATTATAAAGTATTCAGCACGAAATTCAATTGACATTTTAAGTTTCCGAATAAGGATACCTGTCCAATTTGTGATGAACTTGACATGAAAATAAAATTCGATGAAGATGAAAATACAAATTTAATTTGGCAACAGGAACTTCATTTAAAAGCAGCACAGCTAGCTCGAGACTCACTGAATAAAGAAGTACCATCTGATGATCACTATATCTGTACTTTCGACCTTCAAAAAGCATTGCCTTTTTCAAAGCTATCAACATCAGTTGCTTATTACAAGCGGAACATCAACTATATTTAGTCATATAGCGAACACTTTATTATATTTTTTTGACTTGGTTCGCTTTAGCTATTAAACATTCAAATTTTATTCAAAGTAATAATGAACCAAAGTAGACTTTTTTGCTTTTGAATATTTTTTTAGTAATATATTTAAATATTTTTGTTTTTAAATTTATATCGTTAGTTAATTTTGAATATAGACTTTGCATTTTCTTTTAGTGGACTGAAATATTCCTTCTAGAAATTAATGGCAGTGCATTTAATTTACCTCTAAATATCTTCGAATTATGTTTTTACGACTTAGTTTGGTATAGCTGCTATATACAGGGTGAGATGAAAAAAATGCAACCAACTTCAGACTGCTGTCATTTCTAAGCCACTCGTCCGACAGCTCTTAAAATTATGCCAGTGACAGCTCATTATATTGTTTACAAGCGTACAAAAGAATTTTGGTGAGAATTTTCCAAAAAAAAAAAAGTTATTCGTGATGAAATTCAAGCGTGATAATGTGATTTATTTATATTTGACTGGAAAACCACAAGTGGCTATCCTTAGAGCACTCCAGCATTTAAAAGTGAATAAATCTTTTCTGTCTCGTAACATCGCTCGTTATTGTGATACTGGTAGCGTAGCCTCACGTCAAGGAAGTGGGCGGAAAAAAACGGCAACATCAGCAGAAATGGTTCGAAATGCAAAGAAGCGACTTGATCGAAACCCGCGTCGCAGTGGCCGAAAAATGGCTCGTGAGCTGAACATATCGCAATATTCCTTTCGGCAAATATTGAAAAATGAGCTCGGGGTAAAGAAAGAAAATAAACTCAAAAGAGCTAAAGAGTTGCTTCGCTTGACCAAAAGTGGTGAACTGCCGAATTTGGTTTTCTCCGATGAGAAAACATTCGTTGACCAGCAGTTTGTAAACAAACAAAATGATCGTATTCACTTTCCAAAGAGGTCAGCTGAAAATCTGTACCTTCGGTTGGCAACCAGAACTCAAGCGCCGGCCATGGTGACGGTGTGAGCCGCCATAACAGCCGATGGTCGCTCTCCGCTGGTATTAATCGACCGCGGCATCAGAATAAATGCCGAATATTATCGCGAAAATATTCTGGAGGGTGTATTAAAGCCTTGGGCACCCAAACATTTTGGCCGCAGACCTTGGACATTCCAACAGGACCCAGCATCATCGCACTCAGCACGCGGCACCCAAGAATGGTTACAAAATGAGATTCCTCGCTTCATTTCCAGCGCACAATGGCCACAAAAATCTCCAGATACCAAACCCTCAGACTATTGTGTCTGGAGTATTTTGGAAAGCAAGGTTGGCACTAAAAAATACCAAAGTGTCGATTACCTCAAGCAAGCGCTTTTTCTTTCATTCAATGACGTTTAAAAAAATGTAAAAAATATGGCGTTTGACTTTATTGCGGTTTTTTTATCTCACCCTGTATGTCATATAATTCATTTCGTTTCCATGTTAAATGTACATTAAATTTGTAATGCCTTCCCGATCATTCGATCAAGTCGCGAGAAGTAAAAATTTAATACCAGAGATTACATGTAACCTAGACATAACATTATAAAAATTATGGCGTTTGACTTTGTTGCAGTTTTTTTCTCACCCAGTAAATGGTCGATTTTATTGTAATTTTGCCCATACCAATATTTTTATATATTATGATATATTTATATCATATTTATCTTGGTCTGATACGAAATGAACAATATTGGTCTATTTTTGGAACCTACTCAATAGAGGCTCAACAATTTGAATAATCATAACAGAAGTCAAAATATATTTAAAAAATCGAACATTTGCTGTCGGCTCAACTGGCTGATACTTTTTAACTTTTTTTTGTATATTTTACATGAAAATATTTTTTTTCTAATTGCGCCTTCCGAATTTGATTCAAAATGCATTGTTGTTTACGATCCTGTAATCGTATCAATTCCCCATTTAACACCATTCCCTACGATATATGAATTGCATTAAAAATAAATTCATTTGTATCAGTGTTTCATTTAGAGTGCCAAATATTTGAAAGCTTTTTTTCAATTGATAGCAGCATGACGCATTTCAAATCTATTTAAAATTCATTTCAACCAATTATTTTGTTTGATTGTAAAAAGTAGTGCAAATTTCGTACATCCAGCATTTGAAATGGACAATTCGCTTTTATATAAAAAGTACAAAGTGGTGTTTGGAGGCATCAGTTTACCGACCAACGTCCAAGAAGTAAAAATTGTTTCAAGGATTGGATATACACTGAAATTAGGACAATGAAAGTAAGGAGCTACAGTATGTGACATTTCCAAAATCTTATAATCCTTTTATTTCGTTAGGTTTTGGCATGTGTTTTGGTATTAGCTGTAACATCTGCCCAGGCTGGATTCTGGCCCAATGGCAATCAAGTTGGGGGCTTTCAAGGTGGTGATGCTCAAGTCGATCTAACCACAAAGGTTGTTGTAGACACGCAACCTGCTGAACAACATCCCGTTTATCATCATGCCGAAGCAAGCGCTGTTGCTGACATTGGTTTTGTCGATAACCATCATGGGGTGGCTGCCGATGATGTCCGAAATGCTCCAGCCGTCAAGATCATTCAACATGAACCCATTCATCAGATAGAACCCGTTCATCATGTCACAAGAGTCCTCCACCATGAACCTCATCACTTCTTGCATTACACCAATCCCGTTGTCGATCATCATGTTATCCATAGCAATCATCACAGCAACGAACATCGCAACGCTGCCGATTTACATTATAACGAACTGCACCATGGCGATGCGGCATATCATGGTGAAGTTTATCACTCCGATGTTTTCCATAACTCTGGTACTTTTGGTAATTCCGGAATCGTTCACCATGCTGACGTTAGTGATAATAATCCTGCTGTTGTTTTTCATGCCGATATTCACAAACATTCCGCTGTCATTGTTAAGCCATTGCGCCAACACAAAGATGCCATTGTTACCAAAATTTTCCCCGCCAAAAAGTTATGGACATTACGCAAAGGACTATGGTAATGTTAAAGTCATTAAGAGACTTTATTAATACCTCTCGAAGATATACGAATACAATATATAAGCATTAAATGACATAGATATGTGTTAGGTTACTTCTTAATTTAAATAAATGTAAAAAAAAACTTAGAATTATATAAAACTACAAAAAAGTCCATGGTCATAACCGGCTAAAGAACTAATTTTAAACACCCTCTGCTAAGAGATAAAGCTAGCGTTTATACATAAAAGTGTAAGTGATGCTAGATTGAAAAAGGAGGTATCAACTATCTCAAAGTGTAAAAATCAAATCCATAGATAAATATGGCTGAAACATGCAAAATAAACCATCATTTATTCGGTATTTCGAAAGATTTTTGCTACATTAATCACCGGAATTTTTTTAAATTTCGTACTTGTAGTTCAGAATGGGTACTACAGCCAGTCATCGAAAATTGTCAATGCAGGTCTACGTACTCGTAAGTCCCCACATATCAATACCTCCATATATTCAGTATTTTGACGATTTTAGCGACATTATACACCGGAATTGTTTCAAATTTCGTAATTGAATTTCCCAGTGGGTACTACAGCCTGTCACTGAAAATGTTCTTTTGCAGGTCCACGTCTTCTTCTAGGTCACCTATAATATTACCTATATTCGGTATTTTGACGATTTTGGAATTATTTAAATTTCGTATTTGAAGTTCTTAATGGATGCTACAGCCTGTAACTGAAAATTGTCTTTTACAGGTCCACGTCTTCCTATAGTTCTCCTATAATGGTACCTTTATTCGGTACTTTGACGATTTTGGCGACATTATACATTGGAATTATTTCAAAATTTCATATTTGAAGTTCCTAATGGGTACTGCAGCCTGTGACAAAAAATTGTCTATGCAGGTCCACGTTTTCGTATAGCCCACATATAACGGTACCTCCCGATATTGGGTATTTTGATGATTTTAGCGACCTTTTTCTCCGGAATTGTTTCAAATTTGGTATTTGAAGTTCGTAATGGATTAGTATCCAGCGTACGACAGAAGATTGTCTGTGCTGGTCCACGTTTTGGTGTAGCCCCTATATAATAGTACCTCCCTATATTCGCTTTTTTGATGAAAATTAGCTACATTACTCATGCAGGTCTACGTTGTCGTATAGACACTAAAATAACGGCAATATTCTGTATTCTTAAGATTGTAACAGAATTTTTAACGGATGTTTTTGAAAATTGCTAAATTCGTTCCAAATGGTGGTATTAAAAGTTCGGTTTTTTTGAAAAAAATTAAATTCCTTCCGAAGGGCATTTAATGTTCGTCCTTGACGAGCCGCTTTTTAATCGTTTTATTATTATTATTCCTCTCTCATAAAATATGTGGTCTTTTTGTCTTTAGCTTAATGACAGTTTTTTAAAGAACAATTTTTTTTTGGCTTAAGAGAAATTTTTGCTAATGTTTGCAGATTAAGATAAGAAAATAAAACAAATATTTGAATTAGACCAAAGCAATGCATCCTTTGAATTTATCTCTGTTTTTGGGGATCTAACCGCATTGGGTTCCACAGAGACCTACAAGATACCGAATAATAAGTTTGTAAAAAAAAAACTTTCTGAAACCCTCAAAATACCTGAACTTAGATGTGCCATTATATGGGGCCTATATAATACTGCAATTATTCTCACAACATTGTAGGGAGAGATTCTTTCAGCTCATAAATCAAAGCAGGAAGTAGCGCTATGTGGGATTCATATTGAAACGTGGGCCGATATATCCTATTTTCAATACCAAACATACCAGGGGTAATACACAGGGTGAGACAAAAAAAAAAACCGCAACAAAGACAAACGCTATAATTATTACATTTTTTTTTAAATTTTATTGAATGAAAGCAAAAAATGACGGAAATAGCATCAAATTTTAGAATAAGTTTAGATTTGTTCGAATTGGTCACCTTTGGCATGAATTATGGCCTTCAAACGACCAATGAAACCGTCACACACTGCCCGAATGTTGCTCTGCGATATTATGGCCCATTCCCGGCGAAGCGCTTGCTTGAGGTGATCGACACTTTGGTATTTTATAGTGCTAACCTTGCTTTCCAAAATACTCCAGACGGAATAGTCCAACTGATTGGTATCCGGAGATTTTGGTGGCCATTGTGCGCTGGAAATGAAGCGAGGAACCTCAGTTTTTATCCATTCTTGGGTGACGCGTGCTGAGTGCGATGGCGCAGAGTACTGTTGTAATGTCCAAGGTCTGCGGCCAAAATGTTTGGGTGCCCAAGGCTTTAATACACCCTCCAGAATATTTTCGCGATAATATTCGGCATTTATTCTGATGCCGCGGTCGATTAATACCAGCGGAGAGCGACCATCGGCTGTTATGGCGGCTCACACCGTCACCATGGCCGGCGCTTGAGTTCTGGTGGCCAACCGAAGGTACACATTTTCAGCTGACCTCTTTGGCAAGTGAATACGATCATTTTGTTTGTTTGCAAACTGCTGGACAACGAATGTTTTCTCATCGGAGAAAACCAAATTCGGCAGTTCACCACTTTTGGTCAAGCGAAGCAACTCTTTAGCTCTTTTGAGTCTATTTTATGTCTGTTGCTGTGTCTTGCACTTTTTTGAATTTCAATGGCTTTAACCAGATCTCACTTTTCAATATTTGCCGAATGAAATATTGCGATATGTTCAGCTCACGAGCCATTTTTCGGCCACTGTGACGCGGGTTTCGATCAAGTTGCTTCTTTACTTTTCGAACCATTTCTGCTGATGTTGCTGTTTTCTTCCGTCCACTTCCTTGACGTCGGGCTACGCTACCAGTATCACGAGCGATGGTACGAGATACAAAAGATTTATTCACATATAAATGCTGGAGTGCTCTAACAATAGCTACTTGTGGTTTTCCAGCGAAATGTGAAGAAATCACGCTATCACGCTTGAATTCCATCACAAATAACTTTTTTCTGGAAAATGCTCGCCAAAATGCACCAAAATGTCATTGGAATAATTTTAACAGCTGGCGGACGAGTGGCTTGGAAATGACAGTAGTCTGTTTGTTGCAGATTTTTCTTCTCACTCGTCCGCCAGCTGTTAAAAAAATAAAATATATATATATATATATATATATATATATATATATATATATATATATATATATATATATATATATATTTGGTATTGTGATGATTTTAGCTACATTAATCTCCTATTTTTTCAAGTTTCGCATTTGAATATTCTAATGGCTTATGGCAAAAGTTACCAATGCAGATCAACGTCGTCGTATGGACCCTAAGTAATGGCTACATTCGCTATTTTTAAGATTTTAGCTGAATTTTTAACGCATTTTATTTTTGTTTTCTTTTTTTGGGGTGTGGGGTGTATTAAACGTTCGACCCGACGAACCTGCATCTCTGAGAAACAAAATACTGTATAAAAGTCTCTCGGGAAGGACCGTTATATGGGGCCTATATATAATAGTGGACTTATTTTCACAACATTTAGCAGGGAGAGATTCTGTCAGTTCTTAACTTAAAGCAGGTTGTAGCGCTATCTGGGGTCCACACCGAATCGTGGACCAATATGTCCCATTTTCAAAATCAATCATACTAGAGGTAATATAAATGTCTATGTCAGAGACATAGAATACTGCCCTGAATTAATCTCATTTTTGTGCATTTCTTTGTGGCGTTACTCATTACTTGGTATAAAAAATAAGTTATTTTGCCTTGCCTCTGTAAATAACTCATTACTGCTTAGCTTATTGGCATTGCAGAGGGTATGTACTTATTTTTACTAGTAGTGGCGAAAGTGACACATGAGTCTACCAAATTTTTGCTATGCTTGCTGTCAAAACCGACCAATATGTAGGTGATTTTCAATATAATAATTTTGAAAAAAAAAAAAATGGAGAACATATTGTTATGCCCGATATGAACAAAATAAAAAAAATTGAATAATTTAAATAGGGTGTTTTATTAACTTTATAGGGATGTGACACTTAATCTCTAAACGCGCTATTGAATCGAATGAGAAGATGTGCTCTAAATCGTATGAAAGAATTTCAAATAATTTAAAATAATAATGATAAGAACATTGGTATGTCATTTGCCTTTTTTTGTTTTTGGTATCAAATGCATAGAATTAATCTTTGGTCAAATTTAAGAACATTTAGTAGAACTTCTTAAGAACCTTAACTTTTGGAATTTTGCTAATGAAATGGCCGTGGTATTTGGAGGGGTAAACTTTACGCACAACAACACCATGGCTGTGATGATGGTAGACGGGCTTAACGTGATGTACCAAAGCGGCATGTTCATGAACATTGGCGTGATAGACAACAGCGGCATGATTATCATGACCATGGTGGAGAACATCATCGTGATGAAGAACATCGGCGTGGTGGACACCAGCATGATAAACATCACCGTGATGGACGATATCATCATGATGAACATCTCCGTGATGAAGGACGTCAGCGTGGTGAACAAAATTTCCCTGATGAGCAACATCTCCTTGGTGCAACTCGGTATGATGCAAATCGGCAGCATGATGATGCTCGTCGATGTGATGGTTTTGATGGACAACATGGTGATCAACAACGGGATTGGTGTAGTGCAGGAAGTGATGTGGTTCGTGATGTACAACATTGGTGACATGATGAACGGGTTCAACCTGATGAATGGGTTCGTGTTGGATGACTTGGTCGGCAGGGGCATTTTGAACATCTGAAGCAGCAACACCATGATGGCCAGCATCGTGGGTCACAACATCTACAGCGGTGTGATGATCGGCATGGTGGTAAACGGGATGGTGTTCAACAGCATGATGATCAACAATGGTATGATGGTCAAGGCCGTGATGATCAATCACGGCATGGTTATCCAAAGCGTGATGGTCTACAACAGCATGATGTGCCTCCACTGGAAGATCATATGAATAGCCCACCTGAATACCATCATTGTGATGAAGGTCGCCATGGAATAAATCAGCACCATGATGTACAACACCGTGATCTACAATGTGACCATCACCAATATGGGGCAGGAGTCCGGCGTGGGCAGAAGCCACCGCCAAAGCCAAAACGCAAGCAAATACCTGGGGGGCAATGGAATATATATTGAGTTATAAAATCCTTTTAAGTGTTTCAAATCTTTTCGTACCTTCATTACAAATATTACACTTTTAATACCACAAATCAAAATCTAAAGTTTTCGTCGTTTTCTATGCTTTGTTTGATGTCAAACACTAAACTGATATCTAATTCGTCAAAACTTTGCATTTAAATACCAGAAAAAAATGCTTGAATATATTTGGTCAATATCTTTCTGCAGGATAGCTGATTCAAATTTCAATTGACTTCAATGGGTCGAGTCGGCAGCATTTACAGTGAACCAATCATAAAAGTGACCCAAATGCATAACTTCGCTACGCATAGATACCGATTATCGAGCGGGAGCGATAGATAGGTGATAGCGATGTGGGTGTTGTGGAAATCATTGTTGCCAGAGCTATGTGCGTAGCATAATTAAAGTGTGTGTGTGTGAATTTGGCTTCCAACTGACTTGATGTGACATGAAAATTTAATTATGGACTAGTTTCGACAGTTTCAAGGTCATTTACGACAAAACCTTGCCTCCCAAACATAAAACATATTTCCGGCACCTAATCAATGGATGAAGTGTTATGGTATAGTAGATCTGTTGTGAATTTGTAAGAGCTGTAACTAAATGCACTTAGGGTGATTCGAGACCTATTACTAGTAATAATTTCAATGTTTATACCCTGCACCCCAAGGTGGTCAGGGTATTATGTCTTTGTGCATTTGTTTGTAACAGGCAAAAGGAAACGAGATAGACCCAAAGTTCCTTTCGATGATCTGAATAGAATCACTTTCTGAGTTGATTTATGCATGTCAGTCCGTCTATCCGTCCGTCCGTCTGTCCATTTATTATCCGATTGAGATGAAATTTTCCAAACAACATTTGTTTGGCCCAAGGACGAACCCTATTGAAATTGTAGATAATCGGTAAAAATGTAGATATAGCTCCCATATATATCTTCGTCCGATTTTCCTTATATTGTGTACCAAACGTGTAATATCAGCCCGAATAGTATGGAATTTTGCACAAATCACCAAATTAGGCCTAAAAATAAGTATGCCAAATTTGATCGAAATCGGTTCAGATATAGCTATAGCTCCCATATGTATTGTTCATTCGATTTGTTATTTTTGTCTTCCGCAGCCGTAATATGCACTCTGTAACAACAATATTTGGGGAAATATATCAAATGCAGCTAAGAAAGACCTTTGCTAAATTTTATTAAGATCGGTTCAGATTTGGATATAACTTCCTTATATAACTTCGTCCGATTTACATTTTATTGTGCACCAAACGTCTAATGAGATGGAATTTGGCACATACGAACGAATTGAGTCTAGAAGGTAGAATCCTAAATTTGGTGAAGATCGGTTCAGATATAGCTATAGCTCCCATATATATTGTTCATCAGATTTGTTATATTTGTTACCCACAACCGTAATATGCACTCCGTAACAACGATATTCAGGGAAATATATCAAATACAGCTCAGAAATATCTTTCCCAAATTTTATCGTGATCGGTTCCGATTTGGATATAGCTCTCATATATATCTTTATCCGATTTCAAATTAGTTTTGCACCAAATGGGCAATACAAGCCCGAATTTAAAAGATACAATAATTATAATCATAGGGTGTGTTTGCGTAGCAAAATGAAAATAAAGGAAATGGGAGAAAAATAAAAACACAAATAATTAATATTTTTTCCCACTGAGCAGTGGACTGTATATTTTTTATAGGGTGGCTGTTCGTGGAACAATGTTACCTTCGTACAAAGGGTTTTTAGCAGTAGGACGTAATCCTATGCTTGTTAGTACTCGTAGAGTCGGTAGAATACTGTCAAGGCGGCAATTACAAAACGTCACTCCTTAGGAAATGTCATTACCTTTGACATTATGTACGAAGTACAAAGTAGTATAAAGAGGTAGTAGACATTACCTAAGGAGGAGAAAAATCACCCGTGTTACTAATATGTAATATTAACGCAATTTAATGAGAATTATGTTCGAAATTAAACATTCCGCCGGCCTTTGCAACATTTCACCGTGTTGCAAATTTTACGTTAATGTTAGTTATTTTCATGTGAGCTCGTGGAGCACGATCGTGCTATGCCTCGAGGAGGAACTGATCGTATCATGAAAACAATGGACAAAAAAAAATAAAGAAGGTTGTTTTCAATTTTTCATGCGAGCTCATAGAGCACGATCGTGCAATGCCCGAAAAGGAACCGATCGTAACATGAAAACTGAAAGAATGTGCTCGTAGAGCAAGATCGTGCAATGCCTCGATAAGGTTCTGATCTGTTGAAGGTTGAACTCGTTGAATCCAATGTGGCGAAACCACTGATCTCTCCTGGAGGAACTCCAGGGACCGTCGAAGACGGATTTTTAATTCATTTTTCTCCGAGGGAGGTTCTGCTTCATCCGTTGTGTATGCCGTGGGCTTCAGGGATCAGCGCAGCCATCAAATTGTTGTTCCTTATTGTATATGGGACGTAATCCACATACCATCATCGCAACCATCATTCTAAATTTTCCAACTCATATGAAAAGTAGAGAGGAAGCGAAAATGTAATCAGGAACAAACTTTGGTCAGAATGACCGCAAAACCGTAGGTCGTTTTTCAACTGTATAGTTCGATGCTTCGCGGCTCTAACGCGGCCATCAAACTAAGTTTTTTCCAAATTTTTAGCGAAAAAGTAGAGAGGAGGCGTAGACGACGCGAAACATCGACTATAACTAACTCCGTAGGAGTGGGAAAGGAGTTGAAATTGCCATCGGACGAAAGTGCCGTTTTCAATATTAAATTTCGCTCCTCACATTCGGTTATATTTATGTGAATTATGGATCGGTGATCCAGCAATATAAATAATTATAGATGCGTAGCATCTGCTTTAATGGTTGGCATTCAAAAGATACCAGATGAACAATATGGGATGCCTCTTTGAAAATGAAGTACAGGCGGCCGTATAGCCATTGTTTATGCGGATTGAAGTCATTTGCGTGACAAATGAAAAAGAAGACGTAGTCGATTCAGGTAGGAAAACTGACCTATGTATACCTAAAACGTATGGAAAAATAGCGTCCGTAGGGAAAGATGTGAGCAAAAGTGACTCAAAGTCCCCAGTCTTTTACCCTAATCTAAGGAGAATCCCTAAACAGAAGGTTGTAGAGGGGAGTTTGGCATGGGACCAGTAATGATCCAGCCGAAGACGGTGCTCTGCGCTATCAATGAACCTAGTACGTTGGTACGTGTACCCTGTTGCAGAATCTTCGGATAAAGATCTGCCCCTAATAGTAGGTCAACAGGACGAGAAGAAAAAGGATCAGGGTCGGCCAAACGAAGATTTGGCAATTGCGGAATGGGGTCACGTTTTATGGAAAATGATGGCAGATTTTCTGCAATTGTCGGCAGAACCAGAGCATTAGTTTCCATTGTCTGCGAAGCATCCAATGGAGAACTGATACGAACGGGACATTGCTTACGGGAAATTTGTGAAACGGACCCACTAACCCCCGAGATTGAAGCTTGAACGTTATTCGCGCCTATACCCAATCTTTTTTGTATACGTTCAGAAACAAAAGATGCTTCCGAAGCTGGATCTATTAAGGCTCTAGCTGGGTACGTAGTACCTTTGTGCACAATATGCACCATAGCTGTGCCTAACAATATTTTTCTGCTCTGGGTGGTATGAAATACCTGTCGGTTTGAAGACCCTGATGTGATACTGGTAGAAGTAGTAGGTAGAATTACCTGATCTGGACTTCTAACATTTGAAGTCGTCGGGGACGATTGAGGCGTGGCCTCGATGTGTAACAGCGTGTGATGCCGTTTATTGCATATAGTGCAGTTGTAAATGCTGTTGCATTTTGAAGATTCATGTCCGTGAGACAAACAATTAAGACAACAGAAGTGTTTCTTAACTGTGCTGATTCTTTCAGGAACTGAAAGTCTAAGGAATTTATGACAAACTCTTAGATGATGCCTTTGTCGTGAACAAAGCGCACATGATTTAGGCGAGAATGTACGAGGTAACCTTGAGAAATGAGGGGCACTTTGGGCCGTGACGGAAGTTGATGTATTCGTTGCACCATTCGTAGAAAGGGAACGTTTATGGTTGTTTAGAGGTTCGACGTAATCGATGCCCCTAATGTCACGTAAGCAGGTCAGAGTTTGGATCCTTTCTGTAAGAAAGTGATCCAAATCTTTCCACGAAGTCAAAGTAGATTTGTTCTTTATGCTTTGTTCCCAAAGTACCACGCAGTTCTTAGGTAACCTCTGAAGACACAGGAAAACTAGAATAGGATCCCAGTCTTTTGTCGACACATCATAATTAGACATGGACGAAATACACCCGTTTATGCCTCTTTGTAGTTTCTTTAACCCTGCACTGGTTTCTTTGTCTAAAACTGGAAGGTCAAAGAGGAGCTTAAGTTGGTGGTTCACCAAAATGCGAGGATTGTCATAAGTAGAAAACAAGGCACTTCATGCTAAGCTAAAGTTTTTGTGTGTAAGCGAAAACTTAGACACAATTTCATGGGCATCACCACTAGTTTTGTTATTCAAATGACCTAAACGCTCAATATCGCTTATACCGGCATTATTTATATATATGGCAGAAAATAAGTCCCTGAACGTAGGCCAGGAAAGAAAATCGCCATTGAATACTTCAATGTCACAGGGTGGCAAATTTAACCTGTGACTGGAATTTTCATTTCCACAGGATGTGAAAGATGAATTTTGGGAATTTGCGGAACGATGCGGAACATTCGATACGGTCGCTGTATCCTCGGAATGAGGTATTGACGTGTTACCTATATGAGATTTTGTTGTAATTACAGTAGGTGACTTAGGCGGAGCCCGTAGCGCACCTACCTTTCTATTAATGGACGCTAAAACATTTAAAAAACATTTGTAGGCGACATCGTATTTGATGTCAGCGGCTGAAATGTCGTCCTCATTAGAATTTTTATCTTCATGTAGGTAATCGAGGCACTTTTCAAATTGGAATTTAACTTTATCCCATAGTGTTCTGACCTCAGCTCCTTGTAATTCTAGGATGTAAACATCGAGCTCTTCGTCCCGTTGGGAACTGAAATTGGCATCAAATTTTACCAAAGCATTAGTAGCTCGGATGAATAAA